TTTTTTTTTTTTTTTTTTTTTAGGTACTAAACGTGATCAAATCATTATGTGGAATGAATGCTTGTCGTTATGAATTAGATCAGATTACAGGTGGTGGTTTCCAATCACGAAGGCCACCAAGAGGACATTCAACAGGTTTTCATTTGGATAGCGGTAATCCTTCAAAAATGATGCGCGGAGGTGCCGGTTATCGTGGGAGACCTTATAGTGGAGGTGGTAACAAAGGCGGTTATTCAAGATATGACAATTATAGTGGATACAGAGGCGGTAGTAATAGAGGATATGGAATGAATAATTCACGCGGAAGAAGTAGTGGAAATAGAGGTGGTAGAGGAAGTTTTCGTAGTCGTTATTAATTATAGTTTTAAATGATCTTATTAATGATCTTTAAATAACTGTAATACATTATCTTCTATTTGAAATGTATAATATTTTTGTTTTTATATTATTTCTTTTAAAATGTTATTACATTTTTAAGTTCAAAAAAATTTTTGTTATCCCTCTAAATAGTACAAATAAAGCCTTAAAAACATTCAAAACTTGGAAGTATTAAATATATATTATCTATGAATGTAGTAGCGTCTTTTTGAAGAATTATTGCGGTAATAGAGGAATGATTCATTATAAATGAACAATCTGTATATACTCGCGTTAAGGAAACGCTATTACATTATCTAATAAAGCTTTATGGAAACAGAATGAAGATACAGCCATCTAACGGGCATGATGGAAACGGAAAAATAAGTTTCCATCTCTTGTGATTTCATAGGTTTATTTGTGAACACGTCAGGAGCTAACCATACGTCTATAGTATTGGTCGGTATTGAGTGAAAAAAATGGCGAAGGTCTACGTATAGACGATCGTCAACAGAGTTGACAGAAACTAATGAAATTGGCTAATGTCAAAAGCTACAACGTAATGCATGAAAAATGTATTCTCTAGTCCGCGCCGCCTTGGTGCGTTTCGTATGATCAGGTACAACGTTTTAGTGTTCAAGTGTTCAATCGAGTGAGAAAACAACGAGAGAAAAAAGGAGAAGCAGGAGATCCAGTGGTTGCGAAACGTCACAAATCACAACACGGAACAGGCCACTTCAAGGCAAGACGTTCCACTTTGTTTTCAGAAAAGCTTCTGATACTTAAAAATAGTGATAATATAAATGTATCATGGGGTTCACCAATTTTTTAATATGAAATCGCAATGACTAATTTAATTATATCGTTTTAAAAGTGTATTCTGATTTTGAATTGTGTATAGTGCAAGGTTATGTGCAGTTATGCGTTTGACGTTTGAATTTCTTACAAACATTTATCAAGAATTTTATAGCCGTATTTGGCAATTAATGCATCATAAAATTATGATTAATTTTGAACCGTATAAAAATTATGAAATTAATTTTTAACCACGTTTTGTTACTTGAATCTTTTTTAACAAAGTTCATAATTATTATTGAAGTAAAATCGAAGTACTAAGAACTAAGAGTTGAGTGTAACGATCGTTTCTACATTTTTATATTAGCATCTTTATATTAATATTGTTTGTTCAAATGCGCAATAATAAAAATTTACTTTCTTATATAGTTGTGCAATGCTGTTTCTGACATGTCATTCTTATCTTGTAATATAAACTGCTTATTTGGCAAAATGCCTAAAAACTACTTTAAAATATAATGTTATATATTAACGAAAAAGAAAAAATATGAATAGAATTTAAAAGAAAAACTTAAATTATAATAAAAAAATGTAATAAAAAATTTAAAAAATGTAATATTTATTTGGAATTTTTATATTTTAGGTGTAAAAAATGAGTCAAATACAAATGGATCAAGAAACAGTATATGGAACTCATGAGGATAGTCATGTGGTCATGTCAGAAAAAGTACAATCTTTGGCTGGTAGTATTTATCAAGAATTTGAAAAAATGATAGCTCGTTATGATGAAGATGTAGTGAAAGACCTAATGCCCCTCCTAGTCAATGTTCTAGAATGTCTAGACATATCTTATACTGAAAATCAAGAACGTGAAGTTGAATTAGAATTGTTAAGAGAAGATAATGAACAACTTGTTACTCAATATGAAAGAGAAAAACAATTAAGAAAAACATCTGATCAAGTATGATTTCAAGTTTTTTAGTATTTTTTAATTTTGATATATCATATGAAATAATGTATAATGATCTTTGATGAAAAATAAACTTTATGATTTTTTGAATAGAAATTATTAGAACTTGAAGATGTAGCAGAAGATGAAAGAAAAGAACTTCTATCAAAAATTGATAGTTTGGAATCAATTGTAAGAATGCTGGAACTGAAGACAAAAAATTCACATGATCACGGTACAAATTATGGCTCTCTCAGTTCATCCCTTCATAGAACATCCCTCTACAGTAGAGTAGAAAGTTTATGTTTTATGTTTATTTATTTATTTATTTAAAAATTATATGTGCATCTGGGATCTAAAATATTTGCATGCATATTTCTAAATATTTGTTTTATTATTTGATGTTTTATTTATTATTATTATTTATTATATATTTAATATATAATGTATAATTTATTTTTATATTGTATATTATATTATATTTAATTTAAATGTACATGTTATATACATTATTATTTCTATTATTAAAAATGCAAGAAAGTTTTTCATGTTTAATTTGATGAAAAAAATTTAATAGAATATTTAGATAATTATTTGGAAAACGAATGTTTTTGATTTCGATGATTTTTGGATTTTATAGCAATCAATACTAAAAACAATTGTTTTCTATATGTATAATTGCTTCAGTCTTAGTTATAACAATTAGATTTGCATATAATATTTATCATTATAATTTCATTGTCATTGACTCTATATTTTATTTTCATATTGTGCGAATTCGTAAGATACATATATATATATATATAAATAATTTAATGTAATAATAACAATTTTTTATAAATATCTCAAAAAATAAACAAGTGATATATGTATAAGAAAATTATATGTATAAGAAAAAGTTTAAAATATTCATATTCAAAAATTATTGAATTCAGAGATAATTTACTCGTTTTTTAAATAATTATTAATTAATTATTTGCATTTTGAAATAAATTTATATAATAAAAAAATTATATATAAATATGCAAATTTTTCATTTATGAAAAAAATCATTAATATTAAGACATTTGTAAGTAACTAATACAAAATTATAAATTTTTAAATTTTTCTTATGAAATCAAATAATACTCCTATAATAAAAATTTTTTTTGCATTTTTTAATATTTAAAAAATTAATATATATACATTTAAAATAGAAATTTATATCTAAGCTTATTTCAGGAATTAAAATCTAGAATATGTTTTGTAATATATAATCTTATAATTTTTTGATTATTACAATAAATATTCATCAATATTATTTTTTTTATTTGTTTAGTTGTTCGTCTTGAAGAAAAAGAAGCCGAATTGAAGCGCGAATATACTCGTCTACATGAGAGATATACGGAATTATTTAAAACGCATGTAGATTATATGGAAAGAACAAAAATGTTAGTTGGAAGTACAGAAAGATTAGAAAATTCGACTAGTGGTCGAGGTCCATCTCGCTTACCATCTCTTGGTTTAACTCATATGTCACGAAGTTCAGGACCACTAAGTTATGGCTTTCAGAGTTTGGAAGCTAGTATAAATGCAGAGGATATTCAACAAGAAAATCCATCAAATGCTGTTGCTAATTTAAGAACTGAAATGTTAGATAGTAGCAGCGAAGCTGCTATTGAGACATCTGATAAAAGTCAATTAACAGATAAACCAGCACAAGCAAATAAAACAACTGCAATTTCTAGACGTATGTTTTTTTTTTCTTTCTAGAAATCTTTTTAGAAATTTTTTAAATTTAATATTTATATTTTTATTTTTCAATTTATTTTATAGATGAAAGTCCAGAAACTGAAATACCTCCACCTTTGGTTACACCAACATCACCAACTATAGAAAAGATAGCTACTACTCCAAGTGGAAGAAGTAGAACAGAAAGAGAACAACGAAGTGGTAACACATTGTATCAGGAACTCAGTTTTCAAGATGCTGATGCATTAGGAGAAATGGATGAAGGAGCAGATATCACTGGTAATTATTTAACATTTTAATTATTATAATATAATTTTATAGTTTTAAAGTTTTAATTAATATTTTATTCTTAATATCTTAGGTAGTTGGGTTCATCCTGGGGAATATGCTTCTTCAGGTACATCTTATAAAATATATAAATATTTATATAAATATTTGCTTATTAATCCTTTGAGTTCTTCATTTTTTTATTTGCAAAGAAAGAAAAAGAAAAATTTATATTATAATAAACATAATTATTAACAAATAGCATAATATTCCTTTTGTGTTAATCAAGCATGTTTAATTTTTTTATACTAATGTTGATAAAATTAATATTTCAATAAAATCAAGAAAATTGCATGATTTTTTTAATTTAATAATATCAAGTTATCATATATTATATATTATAATTTTTAAATTAGAACTCTAAGGGTTAATATTAAAAATAAAATAATATTCATATATAAAATATGAATAAAATCAATAATAATAATAATAATCATAACAAGAAAAATAATAATAAAAAAAATAATTTTGGATATTGAAAAGAAATCATTATGCTTTAATAACTGTTTATACTATCCTTTTATTTTATCTTAAATTGTAATATAAATTATATAATTGTTGATTATAATGATTAATTAGTACAAAGTTAAATTTACAAATTTGCAATAAAATATTATGCAATAAAGTAGTAAAATGTTTATATAAATCGAAATTTAAAATAGATAGAAGAAAAATCAGTACAAATTGGAACGGAATATGAACATTCAATATTTATAAATATTGTGTATTTATAATAATTTTTAAAATTGATTATTGTTATTGTTATTTTTTATATACAATTTTATTTTTTAATTATGTGGAAAAATATATTAATATATTTTTATATTTCATTGCTTGTCTCTTTACTTCTGCTGGCTGTGGTCATATTTTGACTAAATAATTGCATGATATAAATAACTTCTGCAGTCAATGACAATTTCTTTGGTAAGATGATATATTTTTAATAATTAAAATAAATTATTTATATTTTAATGAATTATTTATGGAAAATTATATTTTATTAGGAATGGGAAAAGAAGTTGAGAATCTTATTATGGAAAATAATGAATTATTAGCTACAAAGTGAGTATTTTATTTAAATTTTATAATAGCATATAGTATTTATTATAATATTTTATATTATAATATATTTATTTTTTCAGAAATGCGCTTAACATTGTTAAAGACGATTTAATAGTTAAAGTAGATGAACTTACAAGGTAAAATTATATTTTTAAAGTGAAATAATATATAGTTATTATAATATTATAAATAGGCATTATTTTATGATAAAATATTGATAATTTTATGATAAAATTATTGAAATATGTTTTATAATATGTATTGAAATATAATTAATATGTTTTTTAGTGAACAAGAAATATTACGTGAAGAAGTTCGAGCTTTACAACAAGCTAGAGAACGATTACGGCAAAAGGTTGTTGTCCTTGAAGAAGAATTGAAAAAAGTTAAAGAAGAAGCTGAAGCAGCAGCAAAAGCAGCTAAAAGCGATGATGAAGAAGATGTATCGTTAGCACAAAGAAAAAGGTTTACTAGAGTCGAAATGGCTAGAGTTCTTATGGAAAGGAATCAATATAAAGAACGCTTTATGGAACTTCAAGAAGCAGTTAGATGGACGGAAATGATACGAGCAACAAAGACTGATCCTTCTAGTATATCAGGTGGAAAAGTATCAGTGTGGAAGTTGTTAGTATTGCTTATATAGCAAGAAATTGAAACATTGAATTCAATAATAATTTATTATTTTCAAATTTATTTTGTTTATAGTTTTAGTAGTCTCTTCACAGGACCTGCTGATCGAGGAACGTTAGTTCGCGGACCACACACATTACCTCACATGAGATACAGTGCACCAACCAATCAAGTTGTTCCAGCACCACCTTTGGATACCATGCGTAGACGTACGTTGAAAGGTCGCCATGAGTTTTTCGACCAAGGAGACACCATGTGAGAAATCAATCAAATTCTATACACGCACTTAGATATTATCAGAATCTGACATTAAAGTCTGCCAAATTTTTCTCTATCTTTTATATAGAGATTTATTTCTTTATTATCACGCTTTCTTCAATTACAGTTTTAGCATACTGTGATTGTTTCTACAACGAAAATTTTTATAAAGAGATACTCTCAATACACAAACTTTATGCATAAAGTTTATTTTAATATTTTTATCAAAGCTATTGCAAGATGATAAGAGATTTTTTCTCTTGATGGGATAGAATTTTATTATGTTGACTTTTGAGTAATATTTTTTGAATCGACATCATCTTTCCAGATTAGAGTCCTCTTTGGTCAGTTGGGATCCGTAATCTTTTGTCGCGAGTCTCAATTACTCTTGATCATTCTTAAGAAATGTGAGTCATTTCTAAATAATTTGCCTGAGCAATTTTTAAATGTGATGGTTTATAACAAATTGTCGTTACAATTTCTCTATACCTGCCATTTTTTAAAGAAAAAAAAAATTATGAATGTATTTTTTATGCGCAATATCATATGCGCTTACAATAAAGTACTGAAATAGGATTATGATCCATTGCACATAGATAAAACTTTTCTCTTTTGACAATCTTATTCTTATTAATATATCTATTTGTCATATATAAATCAAATTATAAATGATCATTTGTATTAAAATGGAATATTTCTTATATATATTTATTATATCAATCGATCTACCACTCATAGTGGGGATATATTTAAAAATAGTAATGATTAATCTTATAAATTGTCTGTTATCATTGCAAAATCATGCTTAAAAAGCAATAGTTTTGTAAATAAAAATTTGTACATTTTTAAAAGAAAATAATATATATGATCATCATTGATCAATAAATAAATGAAATTTTGACTGTGTTATAAACTTGGCTTTTATTTCACTCTTGCTCTGCGCTTTGATTTTTCGTTCGGGTTTCGTCCTTGCCTCTCCTTCATGGCGTTGTCAAGAGATACCTGGTTATTCTGGTTTTCGGTGGGGTGCTTTTTGGCCAGCAGGTAAATCTGTTCTGCTCTATGTCTAACTTTTCGCTTCTAAACGTGGATATATATAAATCTTATTGTGCAAGTAATAACGAACCTGAACATTATTATACAAGATGATGAAAAGTACTATCGGATTAAAACTACATTTGAATTCAAGAAAATGTTCTGTGATCAAGAGAGTCTTCGTAGGAATATATGGTTGAACAAACAACAACATTCAGTAAATTTACTAACTTTATAACTTCTATAAATTCTGTCTTGATCATATTTTTTTAAAAAATAATTTAATAATTAACTTAATCTTGATACATTTTTACAGATCTTCTGAGAAACTCGTAGCGAGACGTGCAAATGAACGAAGAGAACAATATCGTCAAGTTCGCGCTCATGTTAGAAAAGAGGATGGACGATTACACGCTTATGGTTGGAGTTTACCTGGAAAACCAAGTGCTCCAGTTAGACAACCTGTTCCTGTGCCTGTCTATTGCAGACCTTTACAGGAATCTGAGCCTGGCATGAAGGTATATTTATTTTTTATTTATATATAAGTTAATTATATTTTTTATAACTAAAATAGTAATATATTATTTGCATTTATACAGTTATTATTATAATTTTTTCTTTTTTTTTTTTTTTTTTGTTTTTCATTATTTAGATATGGTGTGGTGCTGGTGTAAACTTAAGTGGTGGTAAAACTCGAGATGGTGGTTGTATGGTTGGAGGAAGCGTGTTTTATGCTGCTGAAGCTCAAGAAATAAGTACGAACACAAAAACTGAAGCAGAAGATGCTATCGAACATTTAGATAAGGAACTTCAAGAGAATGAAAATCAAAGAGTTGAAGCAGAACAATTAGAGCAACATCTTAGCTCATTAGTATGGATTTGTACATCTACTCAAAAAATGTCAAAAGTTACTGTGATAGATGCTAATAATCCAGCTGATATTTTGGAAGTCTTTAGTGTTTGTCAAGGACATTTACTTTGCATTGCAAGTGTACCTGGAGCCAAAGAGAGTGATTATGCTCAAGCTATGAATGAAGATTCAATTCGAACTGCCAATGGAATAAATGAGATTGCTAATGAAATAAATACAACTTCAAATTCTGAACAGAATATTCAAAAAAATGAACAAGAAACTCAATCATTATTGGAAAAAAATAAAAATGAGTTAGATTCCTCAGAAGAACAAAACAGTGAAAATGTTAAAAAATCAGATGATACTAATCAAATTATCCCTATTGAATCACAAAGTTTGGAAAGTGTAGATAGTGAAACCACAAATTTAGGCAAAGTACATTTTGTAAAAACTAATTTAGAAACACCAAGCTCACAATTGGATGAAAAAAATGATACAAATGAAGAAAAACAAAATAAAATTGAAGAAGATACACCTATAGAAAAAATGTCTTCAATACAACCAACAATGTGGCTTGGAGCTCAAAATGGTGCAGTATTCGTTCATTCAGCTGTCGCTAAGTGGTCAGTTTGTTTGCATTCTGTTGAATTGAAGGATGCTGCATTAGCTATTGTGTATGTAATTTTTATCATTACTTAAAATAATTAATATTCTTAATTTGTGAAAGATATTTGATATATATATTTTTTTTAGACATGTCCAAGGACGAGTTCTTGTTGCTCTTGCTGATGGAACTGTTGCATTATTTCGAAGAGGTGCAGATGGACAATGGGATTTGTCTCAATATCATGTGATTACTTTGGGTAGTCCACAACATTCAATTAGGTGCATGACTGCTGTTAGTGGCAAAACTGTATGGTGCGGATATAGAAATAAGATTCATGTAATAGATCCAGTATCAATGACTGTTGAGGTACATAAATTTTATCTTTTTACGATTTAAATATTACAAAATTAAATAATATATAAACAAATTTTTATAAATTAAACTTCTAGTGCACCGTGGATGCTCATCCACGACGAGAATCGCAAGTAAGACAATTAGCTTGGTTAGGTGAAGGAGTGTGGGTCAGCATTAGATTAGATTCAACATTAAGACTCTATCATGCTCATACTTATCAGCATCTCCAGGATGTTGATATTGAACCTTATGTTAGCAAAATGCTTGGAACTGGAAAACTTGGTTTTTCATTTGTAAGAATTACTGCATTACTCATTTCCTCAAATAGGCTATGGATTGGCACAGGAAATGGAGTAATAATTTCTGTTCCTTTATCTGAAAGTAAGTTAAAAGAATTAATTAATTATTATGATTGAAATTTTTAATAATAAATATATATTTATCAATAAATATTTATAAATATATGTGAATATAAAATAGGTGCTGGTGGTTCAATGGCAGTATCCAGAATTCAAGCAGGAAATGCTAAAAATGATGTACCAGGTGTTGGTGTCAGAATTTTTGCCTCAGATCGTGGCGTTACGCCTGGCAGTTTTATACCTTATTGTAGTATGGCTCACGCGCAACTTAGTTTCCATGGACATAGAGACGCGGTTAAAATGTTTGTTGCAGTGCCTGGTATGTTTATTTATGTGTATTTGATTAATTTCTTAAATTATATAAAAAATATAAAATTAAAATTTATAAATTTTTTTAAATTAATATTGTAGGTCATGGCGGTCAAAGTGCAGTATCAGATGGTTCTCAACCTGCTATGCTTGTTCTTTCAGGAGGAGAAGGCTATATAGATTTTAGAGTTGGTAAGCAATTATATTAATAAATTTATTGTTCATAATATACATTATGGACAATTATATGAACAAATTATTAAGTATTATAACTATTATAATTATAATTAAAATGTAAATAATATAAAATATATTATTCAGTTTGATTCTTATTACTTTATCATTGCTATCAAAATCTTATTTTATACAATTATAACACTTGCAGCGGATGAAGCGGAAGACGAAAGTGATGTGGCGACTCATTTAATTGTATGGCAGTTGGTCAGGTATGCCCCCAGAGAAAAATGAAAATCGGTTAATGGGTTTTTATTTCGATTTACGCAACTGTTTATACAATTGAGTGGATAAATTATTTGTATTTATCAACGAAACCTGTACTAACTACTAAAATTATGTTTTATGCACGGTGTAATGAAATTCTAAACTAACAAGTTCGCAAGTAGTTAGATATATCTCTAACCTGACATTCAAACGATTTTTCTTTATGAAAATATTGAGATATAAAATGTATAAATGTTTGTCTATAGGTGTTGTCATTATATTTTTTATTTTATATCAAAAAATATGAATAATTAATCTAAAATCATTTGCTTCTGTATAGCACAAATTATTTTTATAATAATTTTCATTAATACAAAAAAACTATGTCTGCACCTCCGTTTCTGAAGCAGTTGTATATATTGTACAATTGTTTTGCTTTTTTTCATTCTCTGGGGGTCGGGCATTTCCAGCTGACATGCATCATATTGTATAAAGAATGGCTAATAACTTCTTATTCTTATTTCTATTATAAATTTTTGTTTATTATTCATTAATTGTAAATTATTTTTTTTTCAGGTGATGGAGAAGATACAGAAATAGAACGTTCTAATAATGCTGTGTCCGCTAATGCTGAAGAACACGGAGAACAAAGTCATCTAATTGTGTGGCAAGTGCAATGTCCTTTATCAGTGCCAATGAATGGCTAGCCTAGAAATTCTAGAAATATATTGATCCCGGTGTATAATTCAGTTTGAACTTTTACGTGTAAATCGAGGCGTTTAAATGGTTTACGTGATATATTATTATGAAATTGATAAATCAGATCTATCTTTTGATTAAACAATTTCTGCATCTATTTAATTATAATTACATAATAATTGTAGCGAAATATACAAATAATCGTACAAATAATGTAACGGCGAAAGAAAAAGATATTTTGTGCGACTTTTAAGAATAAGAATCATCTTCAATATTTCATTACGGATAAATCTTAAACAGAAAGCTTTTTTTGTTAAATATTGAAATTAATTTATTTCATATAAAAGACGTTTATTAGGAAATTTTTTTAAAATTGAAAGATATAATTAGATCTCTTAATGCAATACTTTATAATTTTTAATTTTTAATTCTAAAAACATCTTTTATTGAAATATTGATTCAATTTCATACGTCAATAACGTAATTTTTAATGAAATTTTTTTTTGACAATTATGCATTATATTCTTTTTGTATATTATTGCGAAGCACGTATGTAGAAACTTTTAAAACGTCTTGAAATCCAGTGTCAAAGAACGTTGGAATTATAATATTATATTTCCACCAATTAATGTGATAAATCAATAGAAAATACGGGATAATGAGTTTCAAAGCTGCCGTGACATTTGCTATCTAGCTGCAATAAAATCAAGATTATTATATTATGGAAGTCAGATAACAAACATTGTACAATGTTCATTTGCAGGGATGAGAGGTGCAACCGACCTGGATAGTATTTAAAAATAATCTATTGTAAATTGTTTCCATTAGAAAATATATTATTTTCCAAACTTAAATAATTTGATTTACATAAAAATATATGTATATGTGAAATGTAATATATTTTTTATGTTCTACTATCAACTCTTCTCCAATATTACAGTGTTTGCGCCTATTTTTTTCAAAATTAAGATCTTTGAAGAGTATTGCAATGAATTTATATAATTATGTACATAAACTATTGCGACATATTTGTATAGTGTTTTTCGTAATTTAGTTAAGTTTTTATCGATAAACGAAATAGATATGGTTTTGGATATACATATAGATACATATATACATATGAAATCATATGTTAATCTTTCATTGGTCGCTGCAATTTTAATTTATTGTCAATTTCCTTCTTATATAATTACCAAAGATGAAAAACTTATTTATATTCTTTATACGCAAGAGATAGTTTAAAAATTGTGCGTTTTAGCCAATATATGTAGCGTCCTGAAATGTAGTATAATTTCATGCATTGAAATTTAGAAAAAAGTCGCCATGATATTTGAATTTACAAGAATTTTTATAAATTCCTGTGTTATAAATGACGGACAGTGAAATTAAAAATGTGTACGATATATAAGAGCTGCGCATTTTTTGTGTGTGAGCTCGCTTTCAGTGTCGAGCTCGGAATTGTACCTGGCTCTGATGAAGCTGCAAAGGCGTTAATAAAGAAAGTTGCAAAATAATGTGTCTCAATTTACTTCTGTTAGCATAAACATAAGATGTTTCTAATATGCAATATTTATTTTGAAATTGAATTATATATAGAATTTTTTACAGTTTATTACAGTTTTCATAAATAATTTTTGAATTTTTGTTAAAACATGATTTTTATTTGAAATAAAAGAATTTACAATTAAAATCACCTTACCTATTAGGTATATATAAATATTATTATTTCTGATTTTGGATATTTAATTTAATTTCTATTTATTTGACAAAAAGGTAAATAATTTGAAGTATATATAAGAATATTTTTTTGTAAAAATAATTTTTAGTTTTTATAAAAATTGAGATTATTCAAAAGTGAGAATTTTTTTTAACAATATTTATTCATATCATATTAAGAATTCAATTAATAATTGTTTTAATAAAAAAAAAACTCGATCATTCTCCATCATATCTATATTAATACAGTTCCGATTATAATATTTCGAGTTTCAATTCGATTTCAATTATATATATTTATGCGCCTTTTGTATATATATTTGTTGAAT